TCCTCGCCGCTCCCTCCCTCGCCCAGCCATATCTAGACGCCTAACCGAGAGAGGAGGAGGGGGGTTGACAAGGAGAGAGCAGTCAGCCGGCGGCGGCGGCGCCTCCGAGTACAGGTAGGGGACGGCGGCGACTCGGTAGCAGCGTGCGGCCGATTCATCTCGCCTTCATCTCCTCGCTAGCTCTCTGTCCTTCACAGGTTCTAAGATATGGCCTCTACTCCTCGACAGCCACACCGACGGCCCGTCCAAGAAACCAGCCCTGCCGCCCTGCTGCTCCCAACCCCCCTGAGTCTCAACCTCGCCGCCTATTCTGGTTGATGTTGTGATTGATAATAACCAGGAAGATTTCACCGCTCAGTTCATCCATTTGAATCCTTCTACTATAATTATGTTCCCTACCCTTTCTTACTTGCAGGAAATTCAAGTGGGTACACATGTGAGTATCTTCTCCTTCCCTCTGTTGTATGCATGTGGTCATTTGTTATCGCTGATTAAGAATCAAGATCCGTTACTTTCTTGAATATTGAAGACTGTCTTAGTTGGTCCAGATTAAACTTGACAAATACAATTTCCTTTTGGTTCCATCTGACAATTTAGTTGTATTATTGATTTGAGCAGTTTTCAGCAATCTTAAGCCGTCTTCAGATTTTAGCTAGCTCAATCATTCTGAATTATTTAACCTCGGTATGAGGTACATGTGTTCCAAAGATTAATCCTGAGAAATTTGTAGTTGACCGGTTGGGTCTGTTTGATTTCTTTAGTAGACTGCAGCGCCAGTCACCATTGTTCATGATCTATCCTAAAGCTAGATTATTTGCACTGCAATATCTTTGTTACTTCAATCAAATAGTTCAGCCGTGTCTTATTGATTTGGACGGTTCTTATTTTAGCCTGCTCGGTCTCTGGATTATTTACTGTCAATTTTGATGCATGTCTTTAATAAAATAAGAAACTTATTTTGGTAGCTAAAATAAACACTAAACGCTACTTGCTCATGGCGGCTATGTGTAGAAACACGATCACGGTGGAGGAGATCTCGACGGTCGATGTGAAGCTGGGGCGCAAGAAGGGCACGAATATCACCTTCCTAGAAGAATCTGATTTTTCTGGTACTGTTATGTGTTTCAAAAAGTTATTGGGATGTAATTTTTATATTGGCACTATAATCTATGAAGTTATATTTTCAGACATTTCACTTTTTGCATCAGCCGAGAGGCACAATTTATTTTCAAATAATTTCTGAAGTAAAATTTGTGAATGAACTGCATGATGTTTCATGTGTCTGATTTGTACTTGAAATAAAATATTGGATAGCAAGGTCCAGAGGAAATGTGAGAAAGTTGTCCAAAAACTGAAGAAACTTTTTTATTTTTCTTCCCATTACAAGTTTGCAATTTATACTATGCTTTATTTTTACTATAACGTCAAATTTATCATGTTTAAAGATGAATGGTAAATCAAATAAGGAAAGAAATTATGGTGCCCAGAATTTATATCCCTTAGCGCTTCATCAAAATGAGAAAATATTGTTTGATCCTTGTTCAGTCTTATTTACAGCGTAAACTATGTTTACCATTCATTCTGACCAGGAGCATCCAAACAGGGAGGTGCTTCACACCCTGCGTCTAGGCATGTACTACAACGCCAACCACATGGGAAAGATTGCTGACAACTGTTAAGAGAAAGCAAACAACTGAGGAGGAACAATCTTGTTTGTGCCTAATGATGGTTGCCTGAACCTGACACCAGATACCATGACAACCTTGAACCTGGACACCAGGGATATCTCCCACGGCGTGCCTCTTTAGACCAAATCCAGCAATCAACACCTCGTCAATTTGCTCCATGAAGTTCAGGAACCATCATTAAGCACAAACAAGATTGTTCCTCCTCGGTTGCTGGCCCATTTAGTCATAAAAAATGATGTGTTGTGCTGGTTAGCAAGTTTTATCTCCCCCGTGGATGCAGATTTCAGAATATATTCATTTTTTCAGTACGATAGCTTGCAAGTTGCAACGTACCACAAAGCTAGCTATTAGCTGACCTATCTTTTCTGGTTGGAGCGTGTTTGATTTCCAACAAAACAATTCATCCAGCTATCCTTTCTATTGATTTTAGTAGAATTCTCGCCGACAGAATTGATCAGGGCCAGTGTGCTCGGACGGCAAGAATGCCTCGATGACCACCATGCCCAAGGCGATGTACTTCTCTGGCGATGCCTGTGGGTGGGTGTGGACTTGCTCTAGTTCGGTTACGCCGTACTGTGTTGGATGACGTGTGTGCGTGGTGTCGCAGTTGAAGATGGACCATTGTTTCGACTCTAGACGACATGGACGGTTGAGCTTCATCACGTTTGTTGTGAATAGGTGGACAAAATGGCCCCCGGTGATGAAAAAGAGAAGTGATAGCACAATATAGTGCTAAATGTGTGTAAGGATTTGTTTAATCGTTGCAACGCACAAGTATTTTTTTGCTCAATCCAGGCCGAGCATTGCATCACACAAAGAGGCAGAACCTCGTCCAGGTCGACGCCAAACCAGAGACCCGAACAGACGGCGTCGATCTAGAAGGACGAGGCAACATGGCAAGGCGTCGCCGGGGATTCGCCACAGAAGAAATCGGCGATCTATGCCAGTGGAGAGCAGCGCGCGATACGCCGGCCGGCGGCAACATTTACTAGGGATAGTGAAATGGGGAACGTGCATAGAGATAGTGCGTGCAGTTCATCTAGCAACGATGGTGTCTTCTTGTTTGTGTAGGCCAAGTCCTTATGTTTGGGCCAAGCCCAAATAGTGCAAAGAAAAATTGAAAATAAAATTTATTTTTTCAAAAAACAAAACATTCTGAAATATATATTTTGAGAGAAATGTTCTTACCCCTCAAAAAACAAAACATTCCTATTCCTGAAGAACGTTCTTTTAAGCAAAACATCTATTAAAAATGTTCTTTTTCAGAGAAATGTTCCAATTTCATAAAAAACATTAACTGTTCTTGAGAAAGTGTTCCAATTTTTATGTAAGTGTCAGCTTTTATTAAAAATTAGGAAACTTTCACATTCAACTTTTCATCGACATTTATTAAAATTGGATATAAAAAATGATGCACAATGACACATGAAGTAGATGGTGCTCCTTTTTTCGCCCGGTGCAACGCACGGGCTCTTTTGCTAGTCTCTCCCTAATAATAAAGCACGGATTGGGTCTCCGGGTTCACCGTCGCGGCGTGTTTATACAAAAGTCCTTGAGTTTTTCTAGAATAAACCCGCAATCCTATTGTTAAGTCAACTCGGCGGTATGGGGAACAGAAAAAAAAGAAAAAAAACACCCGGACGACGGGACGAGGCACGACCTTGCCTCCCATCTCAACTTCCAGCGCCCCGCCACCACCGGCCCCGCCCCTCCGCTGCGTGCCGCCACCACCTGCTCGCGCCGCGCGCCGCCCTGGTCGCAGCCATCGGCCTTGCA